CCTTGTGGTCGGTCTTTGATTTGAACCTGTTAACTATTTAAAAATAATTACCAAAAAACATATTTTTTCAAAGTAATTTCTACTAATGTATGGCCAGCTTTTGAGAGATGGTCATCCGTATGTGCTGCTAAAGGTACGGGGTTCAGTAAAGCTACATTGTTATTAGGAATTCCCCCAATACCGTTTTTTCAGTATTGAGTACCGATATTTTGCTTTCGGTACTCTCCCATACCGATGCTTCCGCTGGCATGGAGCCGGCTTCTCAGGCAATCAGGAAGCTGGGCGGAGGGTAATGACGTGCTGCCCAGCTCGATTTGTGTTTGGCCGGCGAAACCGGCTTCCCTGCTGGGAGGCAGGTGATTACTTGCCACCCGGCTTCCTGATTGTCTAGGAAGCCGGCTCCATGTTCCCCTACGGCACTGTCAGTCAAAGGAAATCTTCCTCTGACTGGAAGTTCCGGTATCGGGGAAGGTATCGGAGCATTTGGGCAAGTAGGAGTACTCGCCCAAATACTCGGTATCAATACAAGTGTCGGTATTGGTGCATCCCTAATTGTTATGACGGAATGTAACCGGAAAGAAGAGGAGAATGTTCCCCCTATTCCAACATTATGGTGTAGTTTGAGGCCGGGAATGTTTAAAGGAGAACTATGGGGTCAGTGTTTTTCCCCATAGTTCTCCTTAGGGTAATGTCCCTAAGCTACGTTACCCTAAGCTCAGTATACCGCGACCTACATCTCGCGGTATACTGAGACGCCGGAGCGGATCCCGACCTGGACGTCGGGATCCGCCCAGCTGCGTGAGTGACAGGTGGTTCTGCCTATCTAGAGGCAGAGCCAGCTGTACCCTCCCCCGTCCGTTCTGCCAGTCAGCGCTGGCGGATCCGAGCGGGGAGGGGGGAATACAGCCTCACCCCCTGTCACAGCATAGAGCCGTGACAGGATCGAGAGGTGAGCGAACGCCAGTATGTGTTCGCTCACCTCCCGAACTACTGAGCCGACCTGTGACAGTCTCATTGTCACAGGTCGGCTAGAACTATGAGGTGAGTGGAAATCACTCATCTTATAGTTCTCCTTTTTAAGAGGAAGATTCAATTTTAAAGTGTACGTCTGGGCAAAAAAACCCCAAACAAATGCAATACATAGTTACCATAGCCGACATCTGGGCTGGCCTCTGAGTTATGGTGAAATGTCCAAAAGAAACCGTGCAGCGCAGCGATTGATAGAATGTTGCTGCCAATAACCCAATAGACGCGTTAGCTGAACAGACAATTCAGAATGAATCTGCACAGAAACATCAATGGAGAAATGAGGTGCAGAACACGGAGCAAAGTCTCTATGTATTGGAACTGATCTGCTTGTGGGAAGTTATGGTAAATCAATTGCTGCCTTTAGCCCCCATTTCCTGAAGAGCGACAACGCTCAACATGAAGAGTCCCATTCTTTTCAGTGGTGCTCGCCCATACCAGAGCGTTGTCACTTCTAGCTTGAAGTTTTGAAAAGTACTTGAGCTTTCTTTGGGGCAGAACAGAGTGTTTTTGCCCCAAAGACTTCAATGGGAGCACATTTTTCATGCAATTCTGCATCTAAGAACAGTCTCCTCCTCCTCCTAATAACTTGTTTTCTATTGGCTAAAACGTCCTGGAAGTCAGGCCTTCTTAAACCCTTTCCATTCGTAACCCCCTTTTTTTTTTCTGAAGAAATTTTTACCTGACCCCAACACTACAT